TGCTGGATATCCCGCATTGCCTTTTTTACTTACACCGATTGGTAATCTTAAAACAGATGAAGAAATGAGGTTCGATATATGTGTATTTTATATATAAGATAATGAAAAAGTAGAAAATGAAGTCCCGGTAGCCGAATCTCACTGACAACCTAGAAACGGGTTCTTCATACGAAATGCTTTTATTGATCGACTGTTCGGATATAATTTTTATTATTATTTTATATGTGTGTGTGTGTGTGTGTGTTGTTTAATTGTATTATGTTTATTAATAACATATATTAATTTCAGTTATAATACAATTCATGGAAGAACAAGGAGAATTGTTGAGAGGACGTTTGGCATATGGAAACGTAGATTTCCGTGTCTATCAAAAGGACTTGGCACGAAATTGTTAACGTCTACATCAATCGTTGTGGCATGTGCTGTTCTTCACAACCTTGCATTAATTTTAAATGATAAGTTGGAAGAAGATGATGAAGAAGTAGAAAATCTCAATAATGAAGTCCCGGTGGCCGAGCCTCACTGGCAACCTGGAGATGGTTTTCTCGCACGAGATGCTCTTATCGAACGACTGTTCAGATAGACAATTCTTCTTTTCATACATCTTTTTCTTGTTCCTCTCCACTGCAACCATTAACGTATCATCTTTCTCTGTAGAAATACATGGATCTGTAAAGCATAAACACAATACATGCTTTTATATATACATATCTAGCATTTATTTATATACATTTAAAAAAATTTGTTAACATAAATATACAACATGACTAAATACTACCTTGAAAAATATCTTTTCTGTGTGCGTTTATGTTACCCCTTCATTATCAGATTCCAATAATTCTACACTTTGGTCAGTAGATATTACTTCAAAAACGTCTCGTTTATCTGAAATATATTTATTATACAAGTAACGTGACTATTAATACTTAGAATTAAAACCTTTTAATTACACATGCTTCATTAAAACATTTTATTATGTAAGTAATAATTATTACGTTTTAGTATGTTAGTAATAATTATAACCTTTTAAGTGTGATTAATGAAGATGACGTACGTTTATTATGTAAGTAATAATTATAACCTCTTGAGTGTGATTAATGAAGATAACGTACGCATTTTATAATAATTAGGATAAGAAGATAGGATAAGAAGCTTATAATGAAAGTTATTACACACGATGGATTGAAGAACATTGATTTATTTTTTTCAAACATAATATATGTAATGTATGTAAGGCACATACCAGTGACTTAAGTAACTTAATAAAGTAACATAATTTTAAATTTTTTTTTAATAACATCTTAGCCATAAACTTAATATGTTTATTATCTTTTATCACAATCTTATTTTTAATCTTTTATCACAAAATGTTATCTTAGGCAACAACAAACATCTTAGGCAACATAATTGCACTTTGAACTAAACACATCTGTAATTTATAATATTATATAACATATAATATTGCATACATAAACTTACATTATATTATATACATACATATACACACGTACATATATGTATACAAAGTACAGAACATAAGATAAATAATCTATTAGTAGACATATCGTTGTTAATGCAACAAAAAAATTAAAATATAACTCGTTTAAAAAAATTCATAATCTACTGCATAAAGTCGTGAGTGTGTCATCCTTCAGAAAAAAGTGGATCTGTAAAACACAAACATAACATATATTTTTTACATATGCATATATATCATTTGTTTATATACATACTTGTGTTTGTATGTCCATTAACCTTCTTCTTCTTCTTTAATTTCGTTGGCTCCTGCCTCTAACCGAGGACAATACGGCCAGCTTTGTCCACAGAGTGTATAGCTGACACAGATGAGTGCTACTGGTCAGCAGAATGTCCATTAACCTCACTTCAAAACTATCTCACTTGTCCATTGATTGCATACATGAAAGTGCGGATAATAATAAATCCAAAGTTCCTATTGGAGGAAACAACGGAAAGAGTACGGAAACAGCCGATCGAGAATAAGCATGGTTTTAAGTACGGTCTTTGCCAAGGCGATCTCAAATCAAATAAGACTTCCTTGAGCGAAATCTTCTTCGTGAAGACCGCCTTGTTTCACGACTATGAAATCTACCAATCTTAAGACGATTTTGATTGAATAAGGCCGCCTTGACCAAGATCGTCTTAAGAGCAAATTTGAGATTCGACTATGAATACGGCCCATAAAATTGCAGGAGCCATGAGCAGAATGCAGAAGCCATATGCGCATGCGTTGTGGTATCTGTAGAGCTCTACAAATACCATAGCGCATGCGCATATGGCTTCTGCATTCTGCTCAAGGCTCCTGCAATTTTATGTGCTTCTACCTTAAAGCCCCTTGCACAATGTCAGGCAACAAGTAATAGGAACAGGGAATAGAAATCAGAAATCATGTATAAATGCAGAATAAACAGTGACACAGGCAATAGACACAGAGTTTCCGTCACGTTGGAAATTCTGTGCCTATTGCCTATTGCCAACCAATCATAGCATTTGAATTTTTTAGGTTGTAATTAACGATTTTTTGGTTATTTCCTGTTCCTATTGCCTGTTGCCAGGCCTGCGTTCTGAAACCTTACTCGAGTTAACTCTAGTTAACTCGAGGCGTTCAGAAATGCCAAGTTGACCCATTTGTGGCGTTCAGAAACACGCTTGAGTCAACTCTCGAGTTAACTATTTCTACCCACGTCGAGGAGGTAGGTAGAAATTACTCGACATGCGCACATATATAGATTCCGTCACATAAGGGGCACATAACGCATGTTCTCGAAACACGCCTTTTTTAGGTTAAAGTTAATGGCCTAGTTTACACCAATCACTTGATACGCGTATTAAATAGTAAATAACTAGTAAATAAGGCTGATTATTGGCTGATCAGTTCAAATATACTATTTGATACGCGTATCAAGAGATCGGTGTAAACTAGGCCATTCACAAGAACCGGCGAACAAAAAGGGATACGGACACTATTTTCCTGATGCGCTGCCATATTTTCACTCATATTCAATGCTTGATGGGAGAGCGCCATGTTAACCCGTGATGTTACTTTCGTCGTCCATAAACGACAGTAACCCGAAGTCAACTCTAACTCTACTCCTACTCTACCTGGGTAAAAGTTTCTGAACGCAGGCCTGGCATTGTGCAAGGGGCTTTATGCTAAGACTCCATAGACGCGGAAACGCCGTGCAGCGCCGGTAGAGTGCGTTGACCAATCAGAAGGCTGCCGCAAGTCGCCTGCGGCAAAATCAAAATTTGTGATTGGTCAACGCACTCTGCCGCATGGCGTTTCCGCGTCTATGGAGTCTTAGCATTACTGTTCCGTTCCGGAAAATTTTTGCCATAGGGATCCCGGCCACGAAATAGCGGAACGGAATTAAGACGGAATTACTCTCATTGGCTAACCCCCCACCATAGCTTTTCCGTTACTGTTCCGTTCCGCTATTTTTTTCTCCATGGGGACGCACCCTAATGCGTAAGCATAAGAAAATTGATTGGTCCATACACATGTGCATAAGGAAATAGACCAATCAATTTTCTTATGCTTACGCATTATGCGTTGTGCAGAAGTGTGTGCTCCCCGCTTATTCTGAATTTATACATGATTTCTGATTTCTATTCCTTGTTCCTTTTGCCTGTTGCCTGACATTTGTGCAAGGGGCTTAAGGTTTGTTTGCGTCAAGGGTGCATCCCCATAGAGAAAGAAATAGCGGAACGGAATTAAAACGGAATTCCTTTGATTGGCTAAAGGTGAAATTTCATGGTCAATGAAAAGCAGCAGCAGATCGTACTGATTGGCTACAAAATAGAGAATTTCTAGAAACTCGAGAACTTCTCTATTTTGCAGCCAATCAGTACGATCTGCTGCTGCTTTTCATTGCCCATAAAATTTCACCTTAATATCTCATCTTGAGAGCCCCTACCTGGAGATTAGCCAATCAGAGTATTTCCGTTTTAATTCCGTTCCGCTATTTCTCTCTCCATAGGGATGCAGCCTAGTGCAGCCTAAACAGCACTATGAACAGCACTCAGCAACCATCAGGTTTTCAGCAACAGTAACGCTTTTTTCTTTTTTTTTTTAAACTTTTAAAAGTTACTTGAATCCTCCGATAAGAAAAAACGTATACGCTGGAGAAGCTGCTTGAGGTAATTATTACACTGACTTAAGGTAATTATTAATGATGATACGCTTGAGACCGATTTATACCAATACAGACCTGTACATACAAGGAACGTTCCAGACATGATTATATTTTTGTTATAAATATCTAATACTTATTTGTGTGTGTAACTGTTATGGAAGATAAATTTGAAAACAGCGACATTTAAGCGCGTTTTCATACTTAAATCGTATTATAATAATATTCAAATTTTCTTCGAATAAGCAAATGTGAATTTTGAAGAGGTTAACTACAGACGAATTCTATCCGTTTATCTCTCAGTTGTATTTCTCTCAGTTGTATATTTCTTGCAGTTTATTTCTTACATATTCTATCTGATCGTTATCAATATACATCTAATTTGAATCTTTTTTAAGTAGGAGAAACCTACAATAGACGAAATAAGCCGAGAGAGTACATAAAGCTATTTTAAGTATAACATTGAAACAATGCCTTCTCGAGATGATCACAGCCATGGACGGATAGCAAATTTTAAATTTAATAATAAACACGAAGTAAGTGTAAATCGAATTATTTTCTAATTTATATGACTTAAATGAAGGATTTACGATAATTAATATTTCTATTTTAATCTTATTTTATATTTGAGATACAATAGTATTTTGTATCTAGATGTCTTTTATGCTTTTTGTGTTGATTTTCCGTGTAACTTATATAAAGATTTTTCAATTATTTGATATAGATTGCTACATGTATATGAAACATTTTACATATTTGACGTATATGTATCTTAGGAGGCACGAATAAGAAGGAACGCATTATCGGTGGAACTACGAAAAGCCAAGAAAGATGATCAGTTGTCAAAACGACGTAATTTGGATACACAAGAACTAACAAATTTAGGAGATAAAGCTGCTCTTTCGCCCACTTCTGCTCTTTCTATAGATGAGATTGTAAATCACATAAACTTGCCAGATGAAACATCACAATTACTGGCGATTCAAACCTGCAGAAAATTATTAAGTCGAGAAAAAAACCCTCCTATAAATGATATGATAAAAGGTGGCATAGTACCACGCTGTATTGAGCTCTTAGATAGTGATCATAAGTACGTTTAAAAACCAATTAAATAATTGATTGATTTACGTTTTTATTTTTTTATTTTTTAACAAGATATAATTTTATTATTTCTATCCAGTATTCCTTTGCAATTTGAAGTAGCATGGGTATTGACTAACATAGCTTCGGGTACGTCTGAACAAACGCAGAACGTTGTGAAACATGGAGCGGTACCAAAATTAGTGAAGATGCTTAAGTCTGCGTCGCCTGTTGTTGCCGAACAAGCAGTATGGGCCTTGGGAAACATAGCCGGAGACGGACCATATGCACGCGATCTTGTTCTTGGACATGATGCTCTACCTTTTCTGCTGGATTTAATTAAACCTGATACCCCAGTAAGTGACATTGTATTTAACCTTTGTATTTAAAAATCTTTTGTTTACAATAATAAGTGAAACTTCATCAGTGTCTGAATACCACAGGTGAATAGAGAAATGCCATTTTTTTGGTCAAACTAAATTTTTTTGCCTAATAATATTTTTGTGTGAATTTATGTATATTTTTCCATTCAGCAAACTGTGTGCCAATTATTTGTCGGTCTTGAAACACAGTCTCGTTAGAATAGTAAATTCACATAACTAAATCGATAATTTTTTAACTACATTCGTCTTGCTTGCTTTTACCTTGTCAGTATTGACACTTGGAAATAATAGTTTTGTTCGTTCATCTAAAATGCCTATTGCAAGCCAAATGGCAATTAGACAAAAATATTTTTAAAAGCAACTGCATTTAACAATAGCTGAATTGTTAATATTGGCAATAAATGAGAATTTTACAATATTACGTTATCTTTGTTGCAAGAAGGTGAAGATGATATCGAACTATGTCGATATTGGTTTAAAACATTTAGACAGCATTGTAATATTCTTAACAGTCTGTTTTCTTAATTAAGTTATAAGTAATTTAAAAAATATCTAAACTAAAAATAGAGTTATATACTGTATTAAAGATATATAACAGCATTGACAAATTGGGCTTATTAGTAAATTAGTAAATGTACAGGAGAGTATTAATAATAATTATTCATAAAGAAATAAAATTATAGAGAAAATGCAGAGTAATTCATTATATATAAAGGATCTTTATTATAAACATCGATGTAACAAAAACCTCAAATACGTTACCTGTTTGAGAGTTGTGATTAAAGTTAAAAAATATTTTCAACAAACTATTTCCTCATATTTCGTTCCTGATGTTTTGTTTCGTTTGATAATAGTTTGAGATCATAACTCTTCTCATTCATTGAATCAGTTATTTGGGATATGTTTATATTGAAATAAAATATTTTTTGGACTTGAATTTCTCTCTTTTTGTTCTTTGTTAGCATCAGAATTTGTGTTCGTCTTATTGTTAGTTGAAAACGCTTACACTTTCATTGCACTACGTCTTTTCTTAAAAGCAAACATGAGCGAGTAACAATAATGTATTTGGAAAATTATATCTTTATCTGTAAATTATATCGTCATCTTTTTTCTAATAAGTAGACAATATTCCAATGTTTTCTGATAATAATGAAATACGCAGATAACATTCATGCGCAACATCGTATGGACCTTATCTAATTTATGTCGAAACAAGAGTCCACCTCCACCCTTTGAATTGATCAGACCTGTTCTACCAGTATTTAATCGTCTGTTTAGTTATACGGATCAAGATGTGCTTGGTAAGAAATATTCACGTTTTATCGGTTATCGTTATTTTATATATTACATAATTTGTTTTGTATCTGAGATACTTTATGCAGCTATTTGTTCTAGCTGATACCTGCTGGGCACTTTCTTATCTCACCGATGGATCCAACGATAAAATACAAGCGGTATTGGAAATTGGCATTATACCAAAACTTGTACAGTTGCTGACATCACAGGAAGGAACTATTCTTACTCCAGCATTGCGTACAGTTGGAAACATAGTAACGGGTGACGATACTCAAACGGATGCTGTGATTCTCGCGGGAGGATTGACACATCTTGGTGCCTTGTTGCGGTATCATCGCGCCAACATTGTAAAGGAAGCTGCTTGGGCAACCAGTAACATTATGGCTGGTAACACAGACCAAATCCAAAGTGCGATAAACGCTGGTCTGTTACCACCATTGATAGAAGTACTTCAGTTTGTAAGTTTGTTTATGCATACACGCAAGAATCAAAGATTTTTTTAAACTTTTTGATAGAGAATTTTGTAGATAAATATATCCATTTATTTTAGGGAGACTATAAGGCACAAAAGGAAGCTGCATGGGCTGTAACTAACTTAACAACGGGAGGAACGATTCAACATTTAACTGAATTAGTGGGAGCGGGTGTATTGCCACCTTTTTGTAATTTATTGGAGACAAAAGACTGGGGTGTTATTATTGTTGTCTTAGATGGCCTAACTAATATCTTACATGCTGCAGAAAAAATAGGACAAGTAGAAAGAGTTGCTATTATGATCGAAGAAGCTGGAGGATTAGATAAAATAGAAGCTCTTCAACATCATCAGAATGAACAAGTTTATCAGAAATCTATGGCTATACTTGATACGTACTTTTCTCAAAAGGTTTGTACATTTGTTTTATGTTCATAAAGTTGACTATATAGAAAAACTATTTTTCTCGTAGACAGTTTTATATTTTACCCAGATACAGACAAATGTATAATTTTAATAAAATTATTTTATCTGCACTAAATTGAGCGATGATAATCAAATTATTATTATTTTAATAAAGATACTTGCGTATTCTTCTTTCAACAAATAAAAAAAGTAATTTTTTTTTAGGACGAAGAAGAGGTTCCTACTTCTAAAGTTAACGAGAATGCTGATGAACAGATAGAATTTAATATGACGGAAGATCCGCCGATAAATAAATTTAATTTTTGAATGAGTACGTCTTTGAATTTGGATTGAAGAATTGTGAATGAAAGAATTTATCAATATGAGACTTGATTATCAATTTGTTATAGTTCATAATGATGGCTGCCTACAATAAAAATTCGAGTGTCAGCAATATTTGTGACAAAAAATAATAGAAAAGAAAAAGCAACATGAATCTATTCAACTATAAACAATGATCTTATCTTTTTATATGTATTATAAGAATAAAATTATAATTAAGTGTTGAACACAATAATTTTGTTTTGATAATTGAGTCTCGCATCTTTTAAATGTTTCTAGATATATTTACGTGAAATCTCATTGTTACATTAGGCCTGTTCGTTTTCGCTGCACTTCTGAATTAGTGCAAGAAATTAGAATAAAAGAAAATATATTTGTTTCTTTTTAACTTATTGCACTATATTGCACTAGTTCAGAAGTGCAGTGAAAACGAACAGACCTATTAACTGAAGAAAAAAAGCTTTTGATACTAATTATTTGATGTAATTTTTAGAAGTTACTGCAAACATTTTTCAAACTTATATATTTACAGGTTTCTTTGTTAAATCTCGTAACTGATAAGTACATTTTGTAATAGAAATAATTGAGTTTAGCTTTCTTTGTACTTTCGTTGAAAAAAAGATAACGCTACTTGATCATGTTTTATTCTTCCTTTTTTTATGCAGAAAATGATTAATCTATTAAATCTCAAGTTTTCTCTTGTATTTTTACTAATATTCAATCATTTCTTTACAGACTTATTTAAAACCGTTATTTTTAAATATTAGTTTCGATAATTTGTAGAATCGATTGTCACGATTAATAACTGATCTATTACTCTATATATTATGTATTATAAATTCTGTGTAAAAGGGCTCAGTATTATTTATTCCTTTATAGTTTTCTTTTTTAATAAAACGTACGTTGATATTCTTGCAAACTTTACGATTTTATTGTATTATCACGAATAATACACCCAAAAAATTATCCGTTAGAAAAACCAATAAAAACTACGTCGAGTTCAAAATTTAATAGTTACTGCAAACATTTTTCGGCAATTATTTAGAAAAACCACGGGTTTCCGATTTTCCGTCATCATTTTGGGCGGACTATCGGCACGGAACAGGCCATGAGAATCTAGTAAAGTCTAGTTAATTTTGTCTTCCACGTTTTATGTACTGTCACCATCAGTGAAACACAACATTTTCTATGCTGCTAGATTCGAAAGAAAAAAGTTAGGAAGCATTACTTTTGTACTGACTCTCGTATTTTTAATAATATATTTGTACAAAATTCATTAACTATGATAGATATTCACTAAATTATACTTATGCAGCTTTCAAAATAATGCTTTAATTGCGGTGAATGAAAAAGCATACGTCCTATCTTTGATATATTATAAAAAAAGTGATATAATAATTGCAGTAAGATTAACTAATTTAATTATTTTTTCTCTATTTTAAAGCTGTAAATGAAAAATTCGTCGTGTTGCTGATATTCTTTCCAATGTTCAAATCGCTCGTTATCGACCCAATATAAAATCGCTTTGGTCGTTGACCAAGAAATGATAAACAAACGCAGCTTTCTTTTTATCGAAGGTAATTTGAGTCGCGCGACTTCTCTGATGACAATCGTCCCGGCTTCTTGGCGGATCTCTCAGAAATATTGATCCAAACAACGTCGCTGCACAAATAATACAATGTTTTTAAAGTATCTTGGTGGTTTTTAAAGTATATCAATGCCCACATGTGGTAGTAGAACAATAAATTAACCCTTTGAGGACGAGAGCTTTCTAAAAAACTAATTTATGAATTAATTTGATTTTAACCTTCAAATTCTAAAATTTAAAATGTGAATTCAATATATAGTGGGTCAAATTTCAAAACAATTCAATTACCATAAAACTCGATTTACGGTGTTCTTGGAATCGCTAAATGTCAAACACAATGAAACTGGAAACTTGGTATTAATTATATAGTTAGTAACGTTAAAAATTTCCTAAAATCAAATTTTGCAATAATCAGATTATTGCATAATCCGATTTTGAAATTTTGTTTGGACTCACCATTTTTAATTTTATTTCTTAATCTTAAATTCGAATAAAGCATTAGCGAATTATTCCAATAAGTCAGGTTACATATGAAAATCGAGCGAGCCTTTACACAAAATAAAGGAGAGTAGCAAATATAGCGCTCGCTCCTCAAAGGGTTAAGAATGTGACAAAAATGGGCACGAGAAACATATGAATAAGAACAACTTTACCAAGCGTCTTAGCATCGAGTTCGTTATCTTGCGTATGACTTAATAACTCTTGCAAAAACGAGCTGATATAAAGAAAGACTGTTCTTCTAGTCTCGGGTAGCTGCATTACAATCTGTAAATGAGAAAAATATATAATCTGAATTTAATTGTACAAAAAAATATTACATATAGTAAAATGTCAGTTTCCGATTTGATTTACTTGTTTGCATTGTAAATAATTGGTTGCCGCAGATAGACAAACATTATGCAGATTATATGGTATCAAGGGTTCAGCGGTAGATTCTAAAAGTAGCAATAATGCCTCTGCTACCGAATGTACACCACCAGCTTGTATGTATAACGAGAATAATTAGTCAAGGACAACGATATGTATGTATATGTGCGTGCATGTATGTATATACACGCTTTCACGGGGTCATTAGGCCGCCTGTTTACAGCAGCTGTAACCGTACCCCATAACATGTGAAACAATAACAGCTACTCTCAGCTAGTAAAGTAATTAAAGCACATTATTAAATTATTTATTATAACCTGATAACAATTTCATAAAATTTTATAATAAAAATGTTTATAATAAAAATGTTTAAATGTCAATATCTCTTAAACAAAGCATTTACGGGCATACCTCTAGAGGAAAATTTTTTCTTGTTTTGAGGTCCTAATTGAGGTTCATATTTTAAGTTAAGCGGGGAGCACACACTTCTGCACAACGCATAATGCGTAAGCATAATTAGAAAATTGATTGGTCCATATACACATGTGCATAAGGAAATAGACCAATCAATTTTCTTATGCTTACGCATTATGCGTTGTGCAGAAGTGTGGGCTCCCCGCTTTAGGACATTTTTAACCTGAAACACCGTTTATATGTATATAAATATAAATATGATATGATATATACACACACACACACACACACACACACACACACACGCGCGCGCGCGCGCGCGCGCACGCACACGCACACACGCGCACACACACACGCGCACGCACGCGCACGCACGCGCACGCACGCGCACGCACGCGCACGCACGCACACACACACACACACACACACACACACACACACACACACACACACACACACACACACACACACACACACACACACACACACACACACACACACACACACACACACACACACACACACACACACATACATATATATATATATATATATATATATATATATATATATATAAAATTTGCTGTGCGACAGTAGTTTAACTCAAATTAAAGTAAGCAATTCATAATATTATCAATTAATATATAGTTATCAGGTGTGAGAAGCGTCAAATCTTAATTCCGCATTAACTAAAATTGGCAACATGTTAGACTGAAAAACGTGATCGGGGCTATCTGTCCTATTTTTGATGGGGCAATGTGTCCACACTTCAATGACAAATTGTTCTTTTATAAATAGATAATGGTGCGTAACTACAAAAGAAAGACTTTCTTTAAGACGGATAAGGTAAACATATCCAATAAAATTATATTTAGAGCGATTAAAAGAATCAAAATTGAGTGAGAATTTTTTCGTAAAAACAGCGTTAGATTTTGGAATAAATGTTCGGGCTCTCACTCGCTACTGTAAAAAAGTGACCTAAAGAAACTACTTGATCCTGCGATTCAAGAATCGTCACCAAATTTTTATTTTAAAAATACACGTCAAGTTAAATATATGAGTTTGTCTTAAATTATTGAGTATTTTCTATTTCAAACGCTGCCGAGAATAAAGTAAAAGCCCTAAATAAAAAAAGATTAAAGAATTAAGGGGACAAAAGAAACTCATCACATTGATTTTGCAACAGACTCAAAATCAGTTTAATGCCACCGTATATAAAGAAAAATCAGCTCTACGCAGGAAACTTGTCAAAAAATCTACACGAAGTGCCTATTACTTCTCTGACTCCAACGACTAAGCAGTTTTTTCAATATCATATGTATATTAATAATAAGTAATATTATAAATAAGTATAAAAATTAATATAAATAATGTGTTTTTTATTATGTGGACAGATAGCCCCTCGAATGTAGACAAATAGCCCCATATGCGGGGCTATCTGTCTACGCTTGACTTAATTGCCCACTTAAAAAATTCGCCTCTTTAAAATGTTAAAAGATCAACTATTTTAATTGTCAACGATTTTTTTTTTTTTTTTTTTAATAGCAAGGTTAAAAGGTTATACCATTAAACTTTTAGCCAAATATCTTTATTAGTTTTTTAGTAAACTTGAAAAAAGCGTAAAGTGTGGACACATAGCCCCGATCTCCCTTATATTCTTATTTGAAAGGGCGTAAAATAAGAAAAATTTTGGCGCAAGCTAGAGGTCGATACGTTGACCCATTCAAAAGTTATTTGGGTTCAAAAATTGGTTTTTCCGAACTTTGACCCTAAATAACTCCCGAATGAGTTAACGTATCGATCTCTGGTTTACGTCAAAATTTTTCTTTTTTTATGCCTTTTCAAACAATATACTACAATATGGGGGATTTTAGTTAAAATTTTTTAGTGCCCCAGGAAGCACCAACTCAAAAATTAGGAGTCATTACTCAAGAAAGAAGAAGAGATCCAATACGCGGCCAATTTCATGTGTTGCAACCTCTTTTTTTAGTAGTCGAGTCGACTTGTATGTACATACATACATACAAAATTCATTAAAACAATCACCTATAGCGTAAACTATATGAAATCTGATAAATGCGATGCACAAAAACTTCCTGCGGGAAACGTAGACTTTATTTAAATGATATATTGATAATATAATTTATTTTCCAAAATAAAATAAAATAGCAATATTTTGAAGCAATTAACGACCATTAATTTTTAAGCTACAGCATATAACTTTAGAGAGTATTTACTTTGAAGATGATAGAATGTTTTTCTAAAGTGGCGTTTGATATATTTACTTACAAAACAAGATTATAAGCTGCGGATGGTTAAAAAAGGGTTAAATTCATTAAATCATTTTATATTTGCTATAGACGATCTTATGCCAAAGATTGCATTAATTACTTATATTTACATTTTTGTTTCATGTGTTGTACTTCAAACTTGATGGCCAGGTACTTTAATAAGGTAACTAAAAGAAATTTAGCAGTGAAAATGAGTGAAAGATGCAGTTTTTTTAACATTTTTCGAAAAAAATTTCATGTTTAGAGGCTTTGAGCGACCTCTAAATATTAAGTTACAACGCCTGCTCTTCAAGGGTCTTCATTTGAGAGTTCTTAGAACGAATTTAAGGAGTGAGACTTAAAATCAAATTTTTGAGCCAAAAATATTGCCACCTAATATATATACATATACATACATATGCATATACATATATATTGTATTTTTTTAAATATCAAAAGGATACGCATTGGATCTTGACTCCATTCATTTAGCCAATCTCGAATAGCTACAATCTCACTATGAAGGCCTGGCGTTTCAAAAAGTCCTGAAGTTTTAAGGCCATGCCGATATAGCCTGTCTACTAAGTGCCATATCTCTTTCGGTACTGGATACGGTTCTTGCGTGAGATTTTTATTATTCTCCTGCAGTTTTTAAATTAAATTTAAAGTACAAATTAGATTACAGAGAAACTTTTGGAATAATAAAATACCTGTCAATTTTTAGATATTTACCAATTCGATTAATCGTCCAATAGGGATTTCTCTAATCGGAACTGAAATATGAACAAGTGCTTCCATAGAAGAGCCAAAACAGCTCCTCTCATAAGTGCCTGAAAAATGTCATTAATTTGCATAATTATTATTTCTAAACTAACACATGACTATTAGGGTAATTCAAAAAAATCTTTTTTTTCGCGACGCACACCAAAATATCAAAGCTTACCTAAAAAAAAGAATTTTCCTCAAAATTTGAGCAAAATCGAACAGGTTTTAGAGGCTACCAGCAATTTTCAATATTTTTGATTAAAAAATCGTTTTTTTTTTTTAATGTTCAAAATTGCATAACTTTTCGAGTTTTAATGATAAAGGCGTGAAATTTTCAGGAAATCTTCAACCATTCATGTAGTTTATGAATATTAAGTTAGAAAATTTATTATCGGAAAAAATTGTTTTACGTTTTTTTTGTTTATAATAAAAAATAATTATCTATAACAAATAGGCGCCAGCGATCTGGGACATGGTTTTGACTTTAAATTACATCTAGGTAATCCAAAAATGCATTTTAATAATCAAATGCTTGAACGTCGGTGAATTTGTTGCTGAAAATTTGTTTAAACAACAAATTCAAAAAACCACGTTACCCGTAATGTAGAAATAACGTATGTCATAATCTTTATTTAGGTATTTGTATTGCATTCCAACTTTTGTTGTCAAATTCAAGTTGAGAAAATAATAAATTATTCAAATGCTACATATTTAATAATTTTTTGTTACAACATCAACTTCTTTTCTGCCTAATACAATAACACCATTCAATTTTACGAATTGCAATTGTTTTTTTTACTGCGACTCATATTTGTAAAATGGATAGATTAAGGAGGTTCGATGGCTTCATCGGAGGGAGTAGTGGGAC